CTTGGGGGCCGAGAGCCATAGAAATGTATTGTCCCCCTTCTCGAGGCCAGGAGTCTGAGGTCAAGGAGTCCTCAGCATTGGACTGAGGCTTCTCCCCATGCCTGGCTCCTGACTCCTAGTGGCTACTGGCCACCGCCAGCCTGCTCTGGCTGGTCACCCCGTCACAGGTTTCTGCTGCCACCTTCACGTGGCCTCCCCACTATGTCTCTGTCTTCTCCTTTTTCTTGAAGGGGGCACATGTTATTGAATTTAGGGCCCACTGTCAGCCCAGGAGAAGCTCATCTTGAGATCCTTAACAAGACCCCATCTGCAAAGACCCTGTTTCCAAGGGTCCCTTTCACAGGTTCAAGGGCTGGGAGTCAGACATATCCTTTTGGGCAACACAATTTCACCCACCACAGTGACCTCGGGCTCTTAGCCTTGGTATCTTCTTCGTAAAAGGGGCTTATGGTACCTGCTCTGAAAGGATTGCTGTAATTATTAGAGAAAACAGAGGATTCAGAAGCCAGGCTCATGGGGCAGGTGAGCCCATGGAGTGACTGATAGCAAGGACATGGTTTTTGAGGAGGTGATGAAAATGTTCTAGAGTCGGTGGTGATGTTTGCACATCTCATCGAATGTACTAAAAATCACTGAATTGCCTGCTTTAAGAGTGAACTTAATGGTATATTGAATCATCTCTCGATCAACTGTTCTTTTTAAAAGGAGCCTGGCTCAGGGTGCAGTGCCTTCATAAATCCGAGCGGCTATTATTATTACTATTATTATTATTATTAATGTGCCAGTCCCAACTACTATTAGAATCTTTTATAATAGTCTAACATTTTACCTCTTTTGTCATATGCCTCCCAGACCTGGGTATGAATTACATTTGAAACGAGAACCGTGGGTGAGATGTCTTTGTGGTTCTACCAGAGCCCGCCCAGGGCTTCCCACGTAGTAGGGGACAATGCAAATTTGTCCTGATCATCCATGAGTAGTCCCCATGGAAATTACTTGTTGGCAGTAAGCCCTCCAGTGCTTGCGTGTTCCCTACTAACCGCCGCCATCGCTGTACCCAGCGTAGGTGCGGTGGGATATGGTGTTTACCCCTGGGCTCCCCCAGGAAAGAGCTGAAATTAGATTTCATGCCAACCACATTTCCAACTGATGATTGGCAGCCTGATATTGAGACCAAAAGTCTTTTTTTTTTTTTGCAAGAAAATTCAATTAGCATTTGAACATGGAGCTAGTCCGGGTAATTCATATATTCTAATCGTTACCTTATTACAGGTAGTCAAAATCCGTGCCACTCTCCGGCTTGCCTGGGAGTAGCAGGAAAAATTGTAATAAGAACAACCACATTAAGCCATGTTATTGCCTGATGCACCGTTGCTTTGGAGATTAAAAACTGAATTTTGAGAAAAACAAAAACTTATCTCGAGGAAATACAGGCCTCCTGAGTTTTCACTTTGAAAGCTCACAAAGTCAATTTAAAATTTTAATAGATTCCTCTAAGTTTCTATTGAAGGAAAAATAACAGGATTTTAAAATTTAAAGGAAGGCTACCTGTTTTCTCTGACTTTTTTCTCCCCCGTTGTGTTCATCCTTGTGCAGGGCCCCAGACCCCTCTCAAAAGAGCGCTAGAGGGAGACAGGAGAGCTGGACGGCTGAAAGGTGCAGGGTTGGGGCACACAGGTCCCAGCTCTGCCTCCAGCCTCCCACCTGCCTTGGACAGGGGGACGATCACCAGGGCTGCCACCGTGTGCAGATCCACTAGGTGATTAGTGCAAGGGGCACAGCCTGGGCAGAGCACCATCGGAGTGGCCCTCATCACCCCCAACCACACCTTTCTCTTCTTCCACCATGAACTGCACTCAGTCCCCTGCCTGCCACGATGGCCAGTCCCATACCCTCCAGCATCCTCCCAATCCTCCCAGTTCTCCTAATCTCCCCCTAGAGAAGGTACCTGTGGTCTTCATTTTTCTGCCCCACTCTGGCAAGGGGAAAGAACCCCAACTTCAAAGTCTGCTGGGTTTAAATTCCATACTCGGAGATATTTCCAAATCTAAGTTTACAGCTAAATATCTTTGACATTCCACTTAAATTACACTCGCTTATCTAGCTTGGGGCCAGCAAGGGCTGTGAGAACATCAAAATTTTACATCTCAGAAACCCTGAATCCTTGCATTTTGTGTCCACTGTTGTTTCCAGCAATCTCTAGGGCTAAATGATTAATTATACCCACGACAGTCCAAAGCAATTATTTAATTAAGTTGTCCTACAGGCTGCCAATTGTTCCGAGCGAAGGGAGAGCCTTCACCCCAGTTTCTCAACATCTGGCCTTTGGATGGCTTGAAAGATAAAAGGAGATATGAGAACATTTTTATGACTAAGTAACAATTTCTAAAAATTTTCCATTAAGTAGAAAAACTTTTTCAGTAATTTGTTTCTCAGATTACAACTTAGTGACATGTTTTACTGTGAGCGTCCAGCTTACTTAACGCTAACGCAAAAGAGAAAACGTGCTATCAAATGAAATGTTGGTATCATCTTTGTTTTAGGGCAGGAAGGTCAGTTTTTTAGCAAATCCATATTTTCCCTTCAAGTGTGTCTGTCTTCCACATTCCCTTGGCCTATCATTTTTAAGTACTCTTTCTTAATTGAGGCTATTTAAAATGAAATTTAATAAACAAAAATCCCCTGTTACCCATTCCAAACTTAGAAATCTAAGTTTTATTTCACAAAGAACTTTTTAAGAAGAGAGATACAAGCCACCCCAACAGAGGTGATGGCCAAAGTCATGTCCATGTGATCTGCTAGAGACACACAAAGACATGAGTTGGGGCACAGGCATCCCGGGCAAGATCTTTCTCTTTGCCTTTGTCTATAACTTCATTACATAGGACTGATAGAGCAAACCAGCTGAATAACAATGAATGGAGTAGAGAGTATTTGCTCACCATTTGTATTCCAAATACACACTTGACTCCTTCAAACCTCTTCCTTCCATACTATTTGAGTATTGAAATCCCATCATTCTATTAAAATCTAAAAGCAACTAAATAACATGGGCCTTCGGTAAACATAGAACGGTGCTTGCTTCCACAGCACACAGGCTAAACTTGGAACGATAAGCATAACATGAGCAAATGACTGAAATAAGCAATAATGAATGACAAAAGAACATTTCACAAGGTCTCTGTTTTGGAAAAAGGCTGAGATTTTCTGAAGAAAGCTGATGGAGCAACCAACTTTTTCAGCTATGTCTTAAGGACAAAGGCAGGCTCAAGTCCTTGGGTTGATGCAATATAAATTATTTATTAGAGCTACTGCCCTAAACCTGGAGCCCCTGAACCTCATCCATAGTCCCCAGTCTTCAGACATTATCTGCAAAATATTGCAATATACACACATGTGTATTTTTCAAGGGAGAGTATAAAAGGGTTCATGTCTCAAAAAAGGTTAAGGTTTACTATGTTAGACATGTCTGCTTACAGTGCAATAAGTCTCACTCGAAAATGTGATGCATTTCTCTAGTGGAGAGATTGTGGTTGCCTTGCTTAAGAATGGAAGTCCCTAGAAGCTTCCGTTATTATGTGGGAAGTCTTAAAACTGCCAGTTTACTATTACTCACATTGCCATTTCTCCAAAGAAAATCTGTCTTTCAATATCAAGAAGAGCCTTTTAAGTTAAAGTACTTTACTGTCCCACTCTGGAAAAGAGAGAGACAAAAACCATCATGTAGGCCAATGTTCCCCAACACTTGAAGGAAGCTGACACCTCTGGGTTAGCGCTGCTCGTTTCTGGGAAGCAGACACTGCCTAGGCTCTGTCCTGCTCCAGAAGGTCAGACATGCATTGTGGTCCATGGCCTGATACCACTGTCTGTCTCTACAAGGTAGAATGTTCAGCACATTTGTCTGTTTTTTTAAAAGAACTTATACTTTTATTCCCAAATCTAAAAGTTACTTCAAAGGTTTCTTTCTTTCTTATTCTCATTCCCAGAAGTGGATTTATCATACTACTGCTCTGTTTCTCGTCATGGAGTCATGAATGGCCAGTCTGTGGGCAGACATGTTATCAAAACACAAGATCTTCCTGAAATTGTCAGGAATTTGGTATTTGGAATAACATGTTAACAGCAGCCTAATCCATGGATGTGCCCTTGTTAATAACAAAGAAGACAACTACCATTGAAGCACTGATCTATGGCCTCCATAAGGCTAAAAGTTTTAACTGGATGACATAGCAGCCCTGAGAAATAGGTATTATAGTCCCATTTTCCAGATAAGGAAACCAAGCTTCAAAGAGGTCAAGGTCACGCACCTAGAGCTTACCCCCAGACTGCCAGACTCTGAAGGCTGCCTCGCCAGCCTCGGGGTTGCGGCATCTCCCAGTTGTCTTGGTTCCTATGAGGAGTGATCCAACTTTAACGAAGAGCAGAGGGCAGAGCTCAGCCTTCAAGAAGCAGTTCTAATGCTTCGTGCACCTCCACAGCTTCCTTTATTCACGGCTCCCATAAATAAGTGTAAGTTTATACTCAACCTCATATAGAATCCTTTCAAATATTTAGGAAGCGTAGTTCATCGGGCTGAATAATTCACATGCAAGGATTTTCCTTTAAAGAAAAAGATTTCCCTCCCCATCTGCTAATTCAGATAGAGTTACTTTCTAAGCAGATGAAACATCTCTCAACTCTTTTCCCCAGAAATATATCTTTGAGAAGAAAAAAATTATAAATCAAAATTAAAAAAAAAAACACAAAAAGGCTAAACACAGTCTACTCTTTACCGTAAAATACTTGAGACAAAACATTTCCCAGACTTGTTTTCAAAACACGTGCAAGATGAATCCATGCAAACATGTGGTTCAGAAATGTCCTTCCCAATTAAAACCTGAGGATATAAATAAATCGGCTTTTCTCCTTGTATTTCTTCTCTCATTATGAACAGAGCCTTGGCCATAAACAAGAAACTACCCTTAAAATTATATATATTTTTCTTATTTCTTCTTCAACAGGGGACTTATTACATTTGAAAATAGCACCTATATCTTGGAACCAGTGGAAAGTGAAAGAAACAAACACAAGCTCTTCCCAGTGGAGAAGCTGAAGGGCACCTGGGGGTCCTGCGGGTCCCATCACAGCACGTCTGCGCTCCCTGCAGGGAACTGGCTCCCACCACCCTCCCAGATGTGGCCAAGAAGGGTAGGGGGGAATCAGGGTCATGCTTCCGGGGAGTGGGGGCTCTAGCTAGGGGGCTCCAGGGCGAAGACAGCTGGAGAAGTTTCGTTGTCTGCATGTTGTGTGTGTGTGGGGGGGGACCTGGAGTGGTTCATATCTTGTGCGCACAGCATCACCGAATACCGAAACCTCCATCACTGTTTTTGCAAATGGCGGCCTCAGACTCATCAGCCTGTGCTGCGTAAAGTCTGGCTCAGAGGCCGACAAAATTACCATTCATTGTGGTCAGTGAGAAGCTACTGCGGGCCTAGACCCAGGTTGCACGCCACTACTGCACCCACAATGATAAGACAAGAATGAACCTGCACCTGCCCATTGGGCAGCTCTCCTTCCTCAGGAGGAGAAAGACAATATGGAGCCTTCTTTATTAGCAAGTCTGTTTTACAGCTGGGGTCTTTGTTATGATTTGCATAACATCCCCAGTCTTGGCCTGCGTGCCCCTGCAGAGGTGAATGGAATCTTGGCCACACGGTGTGGCTAAGGAGGGTTGCTTACTGTCCATGCTGCCCGTGCCTGTCCTTCCTTCCTTCCTGAGACTGTCCAAACACTCCTGTGTTTTCTGGCCACCTGCTCCTGGCTCTGCTCATCAAACTTCTCTCCTTCTGCCGCAGAAGGGGGAAGAGTCATTGCCTGGTGAAGCCCGGGCCACAGATCTTCCTGCCTGCTAAGCTGACAGAGACACAGGGGCTCTGGTACTCTCTGGTGCGTTATCAGGAAATCTCCACCCCAAATGGTTGCCTGACCCTTTTGTGTCCAGTATTACTTGGGTGCCACAGGCCGCGGCAGACCACTCTTGTTTTTTTAAGATTTTACTTATTTGAGAGAGAGAACGTGAGTGAAAGAGCGAGAGCACGTGCATGAGTGGGGGGAGGGGCAGGGGAAGAGGGAGAAGCAGGCTCCCCACTGAGCAGGGAGCCTATGTGGGGCTCTGATCCCAGGATCTGGGACCATGACCTGAGCAGAAGGCTGAGCCCACTGAGCCACCCAGGTGCCCCAGCCTTAGAACACTCTAAAAAAAGAGTGAGGGTAGCCACATTTGGCTGGGGGCCCTGACTTTGAATGAGTACAACCAGATAGGAAATTCTGAGTAATTTCCTGATTTTCGTCTCTGGCTTTCCTGTTCCTCTGTTGACAAAACATCAGGATTTCATAGATACGATGTCAAATGTGCTAACACTGGGTGGTCTAGAGACATGTTCTTCAAGGTTCCACTTAAAAGACAGTACATTTCCTCTTTCCTGACTTAACACTCAGTACTGCGTACCGATTATTCCTCTTTCTTCATCCCTCATCATTTTTATTCCGAGTTCAAACAGGAAACATGATCCTAAATGATTTCTTCTCATTTGTAAAATTTCCCTCGCACCTGTGAATTGTGTTTCCCTAACCTTCATTTTCGTTTCGTTCTTTCTTCCTGTCCGGGTGTTCTGCCTGTGTGACCCTGTTGTCCTCTATTTCTTAGTTTGCTCACAAGGTTTCCGATGGCGGGTGTGTGCTGCCTCCTTGTCCTTCCTCCCCCATCACACAGAAGGGGGAGAGCCCCCATCTGGGACAGTGACCCACCTTGACACAGATACTCAGGAGTGGAGACCCAGGGATCAGAGCTTGAAAAAAATCACCCCCCACACATGAACAGCAGCTTGAGAGAGTTTCGTCCTGCCTTTCTCCCTCCTCCCACCCATTTTAGAGCGACAGATTGAAGACTTGGAATCACAGAGACCCGTCTCTACAGTCTCTACGGTCCCAGGTCATGTTTATTTTACTCTTCAAACACTCTCGCCTTCATTCCGGACCTCAGAGAAGAGGTGATTAAGCTGTAGGTCTTCCAGTCATAAACAAGGAGGACATTTGCATTTTGTTTTCAAGGCACTTGTCTTTGATCACCTTGTTGAATGTATGGGGCTCACGTTGTGAGATTTATAACTTGACAGTTTAAGTGACACCCGAATATGTTTGCCATTTCACGCAGAAGTACAAGGCTCGGTGTCTGCTTGCCAGCGGTATTTTAGTTCCTTAACGAAGCCTCTGGCTGTCTAGGACTGTGGTTGCCACCGTAATTTCCAGTCACTCCGACTCAGAGAGGAGAGCGCAAAACCTGAATAACAATGTTGTTTTGTTAATAATGCACATTGGGGTGCAAATGAACCTTTAAATTGAAAAGGGAAGGCAACAGCTCCGTCCTCAACATTTTTCTCTAAAAATCCTTGTGATTGTTTCAGTGGAAGAGAAAAATATGACACAAAGTACATCTATATAACGAAAACGATAGGAAACGTGATTCTTAAATAAGGGGACTCCTTGGGGATTGGAATGGGAGACCACGTGCTTTGGGACAACAACTCCGTGAACATGAAAGAGGCACTCACCTGCCTCACTCCCACCCCTTAATTTTACACTAAAAAAAAAAAAAAAAAATCAATGTAACTGCTGCGGGCTCCTCCTGTTCATGCGATGCAGCAGCCGTGCCAGCCTTCCGCCAGCATCTTCTGCCCCCGCTAAATGTTAACTAGGGCGAAGACGGGTTTGCAGGCTGAGGTTTTTCCGCAGATACTTGCGTTTCCTTTCACAGAGCAGCAGGAATAAATCAGCACTAGGGGTTTGCACCAGCAATAATACAGGCTCGAGCTATGGTTTGTCATTTTTACAAGGCCCTACGTTCGATTTGAGTGAGAACCCGAGTGGCTCCTGGAAGGGCGCCTGCGGTCACACGGTCTTGTAATGCGACCTCGCCTCTGCAGGGTCCTGGAGTCCCCCCCACCCCACCCCTCCCTAGTGCCCTGGCCCCGCTCAGCCGCCCTCCGACTCGCCACGCTCCTTCCCTCCATCAAGGAGCCGGGCCAGAAGGCAGACTGATTCTAACACTGCCCTGAGCCAGAGAGAGGCGAAGGCTTGGGAAATTCACTGCGGGAGAAAAATCACATAATGCCTCCCAAAGGCAAATGTAAATTATGTTTGAATTACCCCTTCTTTGGGGATTATCTGCGCTGTGGTTTCCCTCCATTAGCGTGGGTAATTATGAGTCAAATGGAAAAGGCAATACTTCCTGTAGGAAGCCGGGTTCGCTCCAGCTGCTGCGTGTCCTCGAACACGGCCCTTCTGCGATGGGCCTGCGTGATGGCTTTCGATCCCTAGACAGCCTCTCCCGTTCGTTCGGTGGATGACAGTCACGGCGGCGGGAGCAGCAGCAACAGGAGTCTACAGCCCGTGCCGAGCCTGAGCAGAGCTGAGCATCAGGAAGGGGCCGGAACCACGTGGCCTCCGTCTTTCTAGCGGGCACGGCTGCCGCCTCTCGACTCGACCACCTGTGCCCCACACCTGCCCGAGTGCCCGTATCAGCTCCTTGTGCTGCCTTGACTGCTTGCTCCCTCCCAGACCTTGCTCAGTGCCATGGCCTCTCTGGCCCTGAGCTCCGAGCCTCCCTCCGCATGAGCTGAGCCTCCAAACTGTCCAGGTGTAGATTCCTGTTGACACTTACGGCCCCTGAAACTCTGAATCAATGAGTAACAGAGCTGCTGCTGCCATTGGCTTTGCGGACCCCACATCAGTATGTTGCCCGTGTGCCTGTTCGCACTCGGTTGGTCAGGCGGAGCCCGTCCTCCGGCTCACTGTCTCCCTTGCCGGTTGCTCGTGCAGCTCGCCCATCAGCGGGGCCCCAGGGGCCGTATCCCACGTGGGTGTGATCTGTGCACTTCACCCCCCACCCCCTGACCCCCGCACAAGCCAGTGGCAGGACGGCGGAGAGGGCCTGGCAGGCAGGGACCAGGGATCAGCTCATAAATATTCACAAAGTGACCTCAGAGTCCGGGCACCCCGCCTCACGGGGGCCGACAGAGACCCTTTTTCACTCAGATGAAAATCAAACCAAACTGGATTCATTTAATTTGCTCATCTGGCCACCTACAGAAGCATGGGCCCCGGCTTCATTGTTGTGGTTCTTGTGTTGCTGGTTGTATCACACCCGGCTGGAATCTGTTTGCCGATCTCCACGGTTCCTGTCCCAAACTGTCACCAGCAATCACCTTCACTCCTGGCTTCCACTACTATCTTCCCATGATCCATTCTCCCAGCAGCCAGCGTGCTTCCGTGCAGGGGCTCCCCGTTGCGCTCAGGTCACTGGAGGATGCTTCAGCCTCCTTGCCCTGGCCACGGTTTCCCCATCCATAGCTCAGCTACACTCCTCCCTCCCTCTCTAGACCATGCAGCCATCCTGCCTGTTGCCACAACACTCCAAGGTCTCCCAGCCTCAGAACTTCTGCAGCTGCTGTTCCATCTACCTGAACACTGTTCTCCGCACACATACAGACCTCTCATCCTCAGGCCGCAGCTGCCTTCATCACACGCCCCCATCTTTATTCTCCTTGCACAATGCTGATTATGTCTATTGTTGCCCCTTCTACAGACTAAGCTTTATTTAATTGATTTTTTTTATTGTCACCCTGTCTCCTAACCCCTCCTGGAATGGGAGCCTCATGAGCCCAGGACCTTGGGTTTCTTGTCTGTCCGTCTGTCCCCAGCACCCAACCTAGTGCCAAACACGCAGAGAGAGCCATCGTAGATATCTGTGGGGTGCATAAAAGATATACAGAGTCTGGCCCAGATGAGGGAGGAGGCATGACAAGCGTTTATTGAAATCCTAATCTCGACTTGCTTTTCTGACTTGAGTTGGGCTGGGTTAAGGCCCCCGTGCCAGAGTTCCTGCTGCGGCCTGTCGGGGGATAGTCTGTCTCTGGGAACTTGGCTGTGATGACTTTGAGAGGCCCGGGAACTGGTTCCTTCTTGAGCAAGACTCAGAGAACGCCTCGGTCTCCGCCTTGGAACAGAGACCGCTGGGCCATCCTCAGACGCTAATGCTCCTATCTGTTTGGGGAAGGGCTTTTGTTTATAACCCCAAAAATGAAAATTCAGTCAAGCCACCAGTTTCAAATGTTGCTCTGCATATCAAAAATTTTAAATATGATTTCTTTTTTTTTTAACCGGACAGCCCAGATAGGTCGAAGTCATGTGGAGGTAATTTAAGCCTCTCTGTGTGCCGCTGATGGAAGAATGAATGTTCGCGGCCATGAGCCGGCCCCTCCCCCATGGATTTTTATTATTATGTGGTTAGGCTGCTCTCTGAGCTTGCATTTCTCTGAATTCATGAGAAAATTTGGACTTCTCTGAAAACTGCAGAGACAGGAAAATTGTGTTCATGTGTTTGTTTTCATTATCTGGAATTGTGTATTTTCTAAACGATGATCCAAGGCCACTTGGAAAAATCCCCTGGTCATTTATTTCACCCCTTCGTGGTCTGAAAGGTATAAACATCTAAACAACCAAGCCCCTTTCAGCGGGTTTTTCAAGGGGAGATTAATTGTTTTTTTTCTGCCACAGAGCTCTATGTTCTTTTGTATATTAGCTGTATCTGTTCACGGGTAATCGGGAAGTTGGCACGGCGGGTGGGGCGGGGACAGACAGAGACATCAGCTTCTTTCACACCTCAAGAAGGAAAAGGGGTAAGATCTTCGCCCCTTTCAAAGGTGGCTCATTCTGGGGACACCAGAGGGTACCACTGGGGTTCATTTTTCTTCCTCTCTGAGTGTACAGTTATCACCAGGAAGCATGCCTGCAACACGTAGTCACTAAGCTTGACTTTTTTTTTTCTCATAACCTTGTAAAAGTATGAGATATTATACCTTTCCTGGTACTTTATTTTTCCCTTCTCCATAAGGTTTCCAGATTTCTTGAGGGATCCCTAAATTCATGAATCAGCACGTTTGAGCAGTGAACAGGAACACTGCTATGATACAAACATTTTTCTTGTAAAACTCTGTTTAGAAGATCCCGGACTGACGGGGATTTGTTTTATAAAAGATGTGTCCCTCAGGATTATGTGACTGGAAAGCTGATTCAAAGCATACCTCAGTCATTTTTGCTTTTGTCTGAAAGCGTGGTTAGAGCATGAGAGTTTTAAACGTGAAACAGTGCCGTTAACGCAGAAACCAGGCCATCGCTGGCGAGGACCAAGCCCACCTCAGCCCCCGTTTTCTCCAACCACATTTTATTGCAGAAACAGAAGGCTTTGTTTTTTGTTTTTAATGTTTGCTTTTTGAGACCACCCTCCATGAATTGCTCTTTTTCTCCTAAAAATGCCTTTGGGATTCTCCCAGTAATTCATGGAAGAGTGCAAATGTTTTTTTGAGGAAACTTGATTAAAATGTAACCCACTTCAGAGGCTGCCTTTAGTTCAGAGGGAGTTCGACATCTTCTCCATCCGTACCCCTTGATGTGCAGTTTCCTTATTCCTCCCAACTGTTCCACTCCCCCTCCCGCCAGCCCTCTGCTCCCCTGGCAAATAGTTCAGTCTTTTTATTTTTTCTTGACTCTGTTTCTTTCTATTCTGTCTCTTCTGTTTCCTTCTGGTTTTACTCCTAGCACCACCTCTTCACCTGACTCTGTTCCATTTATCCGCTTGGCCGTTCCCTAGTCTCCAGACCACCATCGTCCTTTGCTCCTAACTTGATGTTTACATGATCAGCCACAAGAAATCAGCTGCCTGAAGGGGACTATTTAGTGTTTCCCCAGAAGGGTCATGCAGTCTCTCCTCAAAATACATTCTCTTTCACTTTCTTCAAATCCCAACACTCGATCGTAAAGGGGAAAGCAACACATAGAAGACACTGAATCCGTCATCTTCTGGAGGGATCTGCTCTGTGCCACGTGCCGCCCGAATGAGTGGCCGTCAGCTGGCTCCTGTTCCAGAGGGTTTTGTCTTGTTTGCCATGTGCCTGTTCCATTGAATAATGATCTTGACTTGTTCTGATCCCGCCATCGGTGATTCAGCAGGCTTGCTGGATTCCTTTCTTAAGGATTTCCCATATGGAAAGGGAAACCAGTCACTCATGCGCAGGAGGTTTGACAGAGGTCGCTGGGGTTGGAAATGAACTTTTAGAGGGAACAGGGTGGGTGCTGCCAGTGGCGGTGGTGAAGATAGTCTCCCCTTAGGCAAAGTGCTGGGGTCCAGAGATACAGGCAGTGTTCTGGAAGCCCCAGAGAGGTGTGAAGGGAAATCAAATCTGTGTTTGCTTTTGGCAGCATAAAAGAGAAACCCTCAAGATGACCAAGTACGTAGAGCTGGTTATCGTAGCAGACAACCGGGAGGTAAGAACTTTCTCAAACTTCTCAGTACAGTTGGTTAAAATAAATAAATAAATAAATAAATAAATAAATACAGAAACAAAAATGTGTAGCAAGTTATTACTTGTTCTGATTAACTCCATATTCTATGAGCCCTTAAAAACATTGCAACAACCCATTGAAAAAAGTGGTTTTTGGTATTGGAGAGCACCAAATATGGTAAATGTATCTGATATTACCAAGTAAAAACCAGGACTTCGGAAAAGCAGATCTACTCTGTAGCTAAGGTCTCCAGAAGAAGTTACTTGGGGGAAATGGCAGATGACTTTAGAATATATTCTGACACATTTGGGAGAAAAGTTTGGTGCAAAATTGTCCCATCCCTCCTGACCCAAAATGAAGTGAAGAATCCAGGCCGCGGGGGTATACAGCAGAAAACCCTACCTTCTGAAGCCTGCTTTGATGCTGGGTTAGATTTTTCTCCAGTTAGTTTCCAATTCCAACACCATCATTTTAGACGATCTTCTCTGCACTCGTTCCTTCCTCCCGTCCAAGTTATGAGTCAGGCAACTTCTTCTCCGGAAATCAGCCGACACCTATGAATGAAACCGGCTTGAGAGTTGCTCAGAGAATCGTTCCCATGCAGGAAGGTCAGATGAGAGGGGAGAGGTGGAATTCATTAACGTTTCCCCCTTCTCCTTGCTGTTTGACTTGGTGCCATGAGTTTCTATTACTTTTACTGTTTAATTTTTAAAAAACAAATATAAAGGAAATTTCTGAGGAAGTTAAAATCAAGTTGATGATATGAAAAATGGCTTTGGACTGCCTTCTCGTTGTCTGTTTTCTCTGCCAAAACATGTCACGGCCTCCATCATTTATGAGGCTGGAAAAATCGCAGAAGTTACTGTCTTCTGAGCACTTGACTTGGGCAAATTTCAAGGAGTTGCAGAAAGTCCCCAGACGGAGAAATTACTCGTCAGGATGGGAACTCATTTCACCATAAGCCGTGGAGGGTCCCGGGTGGTTTGGGAAGCTTAAGACTTCACGTTTCCAGGAGCTGGGAAGATGAGATTTGATTGATATTCTTGCTGTTGTTAATGCTGACATTTAAAATTATTAAGTTTCAGAGGCAAGGAAAAGATCTGGAAAAAGTTAAGCAGCGATTAATAGAGATTGCTAATCACGTTGACAAGGTAAGTTCTTTTTCGGGTAATTAAATCATTCAAAGCACGTAAATGTTTAGAAACAGGGTGGAGGGAATGGAGCACACCTCGTCTGACTTGGCAGGGAGACCGGGTTCTGGTCCTGGGCTGGAACAATGACTTGCCCTTCCTCTGAGCACAGAATTCCCAGTCTGGAGCAGCTCCGGCAGATGCCAACCAGTGCACACGGTCTGGACTGTGGTGGCCTTGGGCTACATCTCCCTCCAGGCTCTCTTCTGGCCAGAATCCCAGTGTGTTGTTGGGGGCGGGGGGTGGGTCTCACTTTCCCCAGTTAGAGCCAAAACCCCAGTAGGATGAAACTGACTCTCTGGAGAACTCCCAAGAGGCCTCTTAACCCAGGTATCCCTGGATTGTGTCCAGAGTTCCCCTGAGGGCAGGCTGTCATTTACAAGTGACACATAGGCTCCACCATCCTGAGACACGGAAATTGGCTTTTGGTTCAATCAACTGTTGGAAGATTGCTCACCGAGAATAAGGAGATTGGGAGCTCACCCTTGGCAAAGGTGATCCAGACCAGGAGGAAACCCCTAATCCCGGGGGCAGGAAAGCAGCAACACTCTTTACCTGTTTGAAAGGAGAGTGTGAACCTGTCTGAGCCGCTGCCCCCCAGCTGCACCCCCGAGGAACAAAGCTATCCGGCCGCCTGGGGCTGACCGCCCTCCCTCTAACACAGGGCTTCGCACACCTGCCCGCACGTTGGAGTCACAGGGAAACTTTTAAAGGCATGCCTGCCTGGGTACCTTGGCAATCGGGGAGTTGTTGTTAACTCGCACTAGTAATTAAAGGACCACATACCTCAGGAAAGACCTGATGGACTCCATGGAGTTTGCCAGCCTGGCAGTTCTTGCATTTCTGGCCAAGAGAGAGCTGAATGGCCGAGCACACCCATCCAGCCACCCCCAGCAGACCCTGAAGAGCGTGCTGCGGGACCCGGGCTCCTCCAGATACTCTGCGCACCCAAGTCTGCCAACTGACCAGCCCTGAGCTCTGGCAGATGTTCAAAAGTTCACCTCTGTCTCTCTCCAAGTAGGAGTATCTAGGCCCCAAAACAATGACGGTTCCAGTGGCAACTTCCTCATTTGCATAAAGCTTGGCTCTCCTTGGCCATTCTGAAGTAACCACTGCTTGGCTGTCTGGGTTGACCTGAAAGGAAGAGGGAGAAGGACATCCTGGACTGAAAGACCAGGAAGTCATTGAGTACAAAGGTGACATTCTGAAGCATCCTGGAAACCCCCCCCCCCATAAGTAAAACATGGATAGCAGGTCCGATGCTCCTAGCTGGAAGCCAAGCTCATGCCTAGGAACGAGGAGGCGCTCCCGGGTCCTGATTCGCCTGCAGGGCAGAGCGCTGGACGTATGTGATTGCCCAGGTTTCGCCGCTTTAACATTTCACCTCCCACCAGTCCCACTTCGTATCCAGTAAGAACTTAACACCAGCGGCAGGTTCACTGGCACAGACCTTCTGTGACCTGCTTCTGAACAGGCTTATCTTCTGTGCATTTAATTTCTTCAGGTATTTTCCAGCTCATGGGAGTCTCCTTTCCCCTCTCCCAAGCCGGTCGCCTGAAGGGTCAGGTTCTTGCGTCGGACCCCACCGGGTCTCCTCTTTCCTCTACTCATTTTTTTCAGACCCTCTTCTTCCAGAAAGGCTTCGTTGACCCTCAGCACAGCACCCTGTGAACCTCCCGTTCGCGCCCTTTCTTGGTAGTTCAGTCTGTTGGAGTGGACTGTCACAGTGGCTAAGTGTCCCCAGCTTTGATCCTCTTGCTGACCTCTGAGCATTGGGGAGCCAAGGACAAGGGTGTCCTAATCCTTGTTCTCGGTGCCAGGGCCAAGCCTGGTATACAGCAGGAGCTAAGCAAATGCCCATTGCCGCGGTGTCCGTGGGTGACTCAATGCCGCCGCTCTCGGGCTGCACCCCCACATTCTGGGGTGCATGGGCTGGGCAGGCTGCTGCCAGGCTCCCGCCCAGCTTCTCTCCCGTCATTCCACGGCAAGCTCCTTTGTTGGCCAGCACTGAGGCTAGCTCTAAGGAACAGTGCTTTTTTACAGACCTTAGTCAACCGTCCTTGTCAGAGGCAAACTCAGTGTCCCCTTCACAGATGACCACATGAAGCCCACACGGGGCATCTGGCTCTGAGTTAGGGCTTAGCGAGCTGGTGTGGACCTCGGCCCTGGAGCTCGGACGTTTCCGCCTCCTGATCACTGTTACCTCTGCCTGACACAGTGCAAAGTGTGGTCTCCCGGCCAAAGGGCAGCAGCCGGACACGGGCAGCCAGAGTTCCAGAAGAGTCCAGGAGCTTCATTCTGCCCGGGAAGCCTGGGCTGGGAGGTTGCAAGTCCATACCACAGAGCAAGCATTTCTTGATTGAAAACAAGCTGTTGGGCTGCATGTAGGTCGGAGAATTGTCTCATTAACTTATTAATTGTGATCTGCTTGAAGCCCGGAGGGACCGCTGCGGCCAGCTTACGTTCTGTGACATTGTGTGCGTTCCAGTCACAGCCTTGGGCTAACCTAAGGCTCACCAGACGACTGCGGGAAGATCGGTAGGGGAAGCGATAAGCCTGCCCCCGGTGGGTCAGAACGGGGGTCAGATGCTCGGACTTGGGGACCATATGGCCCATTAACTCGCCACATCCGGATGGCACTTAACCATCCAATGAGAAGCCTCTGTGACTTTTGCTACTTGTCCCAGATGCGTGTAGCATAAAATGGGACCAGCTCACATCTGAAGCCTGACTTGGGCTGCTACATCTTTCTCCTGGGCTACCTGGAGTATCAGAAAATGAGGACGTGCCCATTGCCCATTGCATCTCGCCTCACCCATCATGGGCACTCGAAGAGTTTACACCACCCCGGTGATCCCATGTCCTCACCCCCTGGGCCCCAAGTGCAGAGCCACCTCCTCGTTGTAATGCACATGGCGGGCAGCGGGAGAGTTGGAGGCAATGGGTAGATCCTCCCTCTATCCTGACCAGTCATCTTGTCCCAGACCAGACTATCCCTTAGCCATCCGAAGAGCTGCTCCTCCTACCTCTACCCCGGGATGATCTGCTTGTGGAGAAAGGGCTGTAGTTTGAAGTCAAGTCGGGAGTATATAAAGACAGGAGACAGACATGCAATGAGAAGATGCTTTGGTGTATATCTGAAACTTGATTTCACAAGCCTATGAAACAGGAACTTCCTCTAGAAGATCCTTCCCGTGATGCCGCTGGTGAGCTAACTTCCAGCTGTGAAGAAGATGGTCACTGAGTTCCAGAAGAAGGGTTCTGCATATGGCTTTATTGTTCCAAAAGACTGATTTGTGCATTTAACTAAAACCTTCTAGGTAGATTATAAGTGATGGAATGTGATCGCATCAGCCAGGTCTGAGTCTTTGTTGAAAAATTACTGCAGATTCATTTTCAGTAACTCATAGGTAGAACATTTTGCTTTAAAGGAACATATTATTGTCCTTGGCAGAGAGTCTGAAAGATCCTAATTCCCTCATTGTTTTTCCCACAGTAGTTACTCATGGGCAGTCTTTAGGTATAATGTAGCTACTTTAGGGATAGTACACATTTATCTGCACATTTTCAATCGCCAGTGAACCGTGTGAACTGTGTACTTCCATACAAGTAAGGGCCGACATCAAAAAGCCTATGAACTTTGGCATCTAACTGGTCAACAACATTGGAAACCCAATGAACACATCACTTTGCATCAGACACTGCAAATACTTCTTAAGTTCCAGTGCCGCAGGAACGAGGGAGCACAGAGATCTTTCTCTCACCCATGTCAGTGAAATTCAAAACATGCAAATATGTTCTACTCTGCATTTTGAGCTCTTAGGAATGTGATCCCCAGAGGGTGCCTGTCTTGGTCAGTTTTACAGATCCCTGAACATTCGGATAGTGCTGGTGGGTGTGGAGGTGTGGAATGACATCGACAAATGCTCCATAAGTCAGGACCCGTTCACAAGCCTCCATGAATTTCTGGATTGGAGAAAGATGAAGCTTCTACCTCGCAAATCACATGACAATGCCCAGCTCATCAGGTAGGGGGATCCATTGTCTCTGCTTTGCTTAAAGAGTGACCTCAGCAACCCCCCTCTCCTCTTAGCATCACCTGGCAGTCCCCAAAACTGCAGAACCTTGTACCAGGGTGCTTTCCAGTCCACATCAGTGGGGCACTGATCTTGACCAAACTGGGGGTCCATCAGGAAAGCCTTCCTTTGAATCCCTGAGGAAACCTATCCCTGTAAGAGATGTCTTTATATTCTTTTTTCATCACCTGGACATTTTCCTCTCTGCAAATCTTTCTAGTCTTTGTCTTAATATAAAATGTCCTGAGTAGGCTATTAAAAAAAAAAAAAAGCTCATTTTCTTTCACTATTAGTGAAAAATGTTTATGCAAGATGTAAAGATGATGCATTAGGATAATTATTGCCAGATGCCTGGAGAAAGGAAATGTTCATTCCTCCTCCTATTTCGCCGTGACTCTGGTTTTCTAGATCAGAGGACCCTAGGGGTCTGCGTTCTTTCAACCAGTGTGTATTGAGCACCAGTCAGGAAGCAAGTATGTTTTAGGTCCTTTGAACATAGCGATGACCAGCACTGTAAGCCTCCCTGCTCTCAGGAGTTCCCAATCTGCTGGGAGAAGGCAACAGTAGTATTGGGTCATGAAGATAATAAAATGAGGGAAAGTAGAGCTATAATATAATATATTGGAAAGATATTCAAACACCTTTATATTTAAAAGAAAAAAATTCTTATCATCCATATTGGTAAGGAGTAGATTTTCCCCAAATTGACCAACTTTTTATTAAGACCCTTAAACGGTTGATGCTGTTATTCCTATGTTCTCATGCAGCTCATTTCACTGAATTGGAAGCTTCGGGGTCAGACATTTTTCTTTGGCAAGTTATATCTAGTTCCTTAAAAAATTATAAGAAGATGGGACACCTGGGTGGCTCAGTCAGTTAAGCATCTGCCTTCAGCTCAGGTCCTGATCTCAGGGTCCTGGGGTCAAGCCCCACTCCCTTCTTGGGGGGGGTCTGCTTCTCCCTCACCCTCTGCCCCTTCCCCTGCTTGTGTGCATGCTCTCTCTCTCTCTCTCTCTCTCTTTCTCTCAAATAAATAAATAAAACCTTTGAAAAAAATTAAGGGAAGTTAAAAACCATTCTTACCCCATCCTCACTTTAGAAAATGCCTATGTATGAACTAAGGCTGTTAGCATTCCTGATAATTTACTCTGGTCATTTTCATGGGGTTGTTTGTTTTTTTTCCCACCCTGGATATTTGTGGTTGCCTCATATTTTATGCATTGATTAATCCCAAACTACTTAAAGTACATTTTAGAAATTTTGAGTCAGAGTATTTTGTTTTAATTCTTTTTCCCAAATGGAGTCTGTCCAACTTGAACATCTGGAAATAAATTAACCTCTTATTATATATATATAGTATATATATATAATTGTATCTGTTAAAATGGTCTATATAGATGTAAATATAAAACCTATAACCTCAACTACTGCACATATGAGTATGATAGGAAGGGATGGAAGGATAAACATATACATATATACACAGATAAGATTTTATATAGACTTATTCCCTTTTGTCCAATCGAACACTGTCAAAATAACTGACTTTTCAAATAGAGTATGTATAGGCTATGTATGTACATGGTCAAGGTAACATGAGTAAGTCATTTAAAGGAGATTCAATAAATACAAACAATGTTTCATTTTTAATGCACGAGGGTCACATTTAGAGCACTGGCATTAAACAGGGCTTCATGTCATTAGACTCCACATTAAGAATCCTCATGGGGGGAAGCCTGCACCTAAGCTACAATATCCCCTACTGGAACCTTCCTCCGGGGGTGCGGAGGCTTCCTCCCGATGTGGGTTTTTATTCTGCACGGGCTCCAGAGGATCAATCATTTCTCCACCACCATCATTGTTGCCAGCTATGTTAGCAAGACACTTGAAAGAGTTTGGGTTTCTGGATTAATTGTAATGGTTCACAGGAAACCAAGTTCAGCTAAAACAGAAAATCTAGTAAACCACCATGCGCATTTCATTTAGTTGCCAGTGATTCTCTGTGACTCTTCCTACCATTTCCATCAGCACATGTTTCAAAGGAGCAGGACCCTCTAATCCATAGGAAATAGGCAGGATACAACTCATAAGTACAAAGGTCATGACTGGTCATGGTCTGAGTGTTGCAAACAAAAATCTGAAGGGATTATGGTACCACAATGCAAAATACATTTGAGAGGAATTAAGGACACAAATCACCTGTAAACATGCCCCCTGTGACTCTCTTCCTTTTTGCACGTGTCCGTGCTCTTCTTTTTGGAATGCAAGGATGGCCAAAATGATTTCTAATGTTAGGAAATGTCCTCATTCTATATTAATTTAAGAAAGTTGTTTTGTTTTTTGTTTCTCAGTGGGGTTTATTTCCAAGGGACGACCATTGGCATGGCACCGATCATGAGCATGTGTACCGCAGAGCAGTCGGGAGGAATCGTCATGGTAAGTCGAGGGCACCAAGGGGCTGATGGCAATGTTCCACTCACCTCCTTGCATTTCTCCAACAGCTCTACTTTTACCAACTTTGTAAAAGGAGGCCATTACCTTTCATGCTTCTTATATGTAACTCTACCTTTTTCTAGCTCTATTTATGGTCTTCTAGATCCCATAATATTTTAGGGACTATTTATAAAAACCAAACCATACATCAGGTCATACACAAGTTAGGTGAGTGTGTAAAAAATAACTTAGTGGAAGCCTGTCTACCCCTCTTATGGAGAAAAAGTTTCAACTGGGATTTTGGTCAAATCATTCCAATCCAGGCCTCCCCGCCAGCACTGAGATGAACCAGGGCACTGGGGCACTGGGGTTGCCCTCATCACTCAGTTTCTTAGATGGACTGTGGTCTCACCAAACATTACTACCAGAATGATTTTGAATGGTTCTGCCTCTAGCCCCAATAGCCTAAAGTCTGAGCTTTTTAACTATTTACCACTGCAAATGCTTGCTCGACCTCCTAGCTGCTGTCCAATTTGTCTTCATAATAACATTAACCTTGGAAGGCAGATACCTAGGTTTGTTGCTCTATAAGGATAACTTTTTTTTCATTTTGGGGCTCTACATGTTTATAAAGGGAACAAAATTGGAAGAATATTTAGGCCTTATTTCTTATGAATTTAAGAGGGAAATAGCTTTGATACACTGCCCCACAGGGGACCCCTGCTCCATTCTATCAATTAAAGAAGAGGTTTCACCTCATTCTGGCACCGTCCCTGCTCTGAAAATGTAGTGTCCCCTTTGCCCCAGCCCTCAGACAGGGGGTATTCTGAGTCTACTCTGGCATCTCCATTAAACAAACAGAACATTGCCCTTCTAAGAAACCATGACTTCCTCCACATTTTTTGCAAACAGAACATGGCTGAGTACTCCATTGTATTAAGGAGCAGAAGGAGTAAGGTTCTGCTGACTATGGTTTTCTCTCCACATAGTGCCTGACCTAATCTTCTTAGAGAATATACACAACAAATGTTTTCCTCTTTTCTGGTAAGTACTGGTAATTCATATAAACAGGCACTAAACGAAGCGAGAGTGGCCGTCTGGGAGGATGGCACCCACTCTGGATTTCTGGCTCGAAGGAGCTGCCCTCTGGTTTTCTTTGAACCTACAAGCCCTATATGTGATCCCCGCTATGGAAGTCATTGGAAAGATTGGTTTTTGTTGCTGCTGGGTTAATTTCAAGTCAGATCCTGACTGTATTTTTACAGAGCAGCCTGTAAATTTTTAAGAGGGAGTAATTTTCTGTTTTATGGTTCCATGGTCAGTGGCTACTGACTGCCACTTAAAATGGGTATAAATATTTTTTAGAGCTGAAACTAAATTCCTTATAAGTATGGCAGGTTCTTCTGTTTGGGGTGTTTAAACATTTTTATAACCATCCTGATCACATTAAGTGGCTTTCTTCAGTTCATATCCCTCATTCTGTTTCCATACAAGCACTTGATCAAGATTCCTTCTTTGAAAGCACACAGAGCATGTGCTGTGATGAGCTCTGGGTGTTCTACTTAACTAATGAGTCACTGAGCACTACATCAAAAACTAATTATGTACTATACAGTGGCTAACTGAACAGAATAAAAAAATACATACAGAAAAGGCTATTTTTTTAAGTGGGTGAAAATGGACGTGGGAACTATAGGCAAATATGTGTACTGCTGTGGTAATCAAGTCAAGACCAAAATTAATCAACAGGAAATACGTTTGACCAACCTGGCAGCAAACACGTCCTTTGTCTACGCCACACACAAGAGAAGCATCACGTAGGACAAAAGTCTACAGCTCCTTTAATTCTACAAAATTCATGAGATCTATCTCTTGACCAGACCTAAAACTTCTAGACTTCTCCTGTTGTGTCTCTAAAATTAAATTTGTGGGTGTTCATGTGACCATGCCCCATTCAAGGACTCACAAGTTAAGAGGAAGGAAATCATGTAGCAAGGAAGCAGGAATCCCAATCAAATTGAAGAGATGAGTTCCTCTTCTGGTTCTCCATTCTTTTAAGATGGAGCAAATATTGGCTTTAGTAACTTAAAGCCATGCCCTTGTATCTAACTGGACTAGAACAGCCTTGGTTTGGGAATAATGCTATAAATAAAGAAATAGGGGGGAAAAAAGAAGTAGGGTTTTTTTTTTTTTCTTATTAGAAATGTAAATTGTTGATCAGGGTCTCTTGCGAGATATTCTGTTCATAATCACCTATCCGTGAAAGAATGTAAAACAATTTGGCAATTAAAAACAAACCCAAGAAACTCAGTAATACAAAAAAATCAAATAAAGAATAATTTTTAAAGGACGAAGTCCTTGAATTTTGTGCCAAAGCATGCTAAATTCAACCCTTCACATTCCTAGGTTGGCTACATTCTGTTTGCCAACCTGTGTTATTCTTGAGAATTGATTTCCTGAAACATATTTGTGACGCTTCCTACAACAGGAAACTGTAAAATCTAAGCAAAGTAATTTATTAGGAATTTCATCTATTCTAAGAATAACTTCATCCCTTGATATGCTATTCTCTTGTGAGACTCGGGGCTATGGAAGGAGTCAGCTACAGCTGTAGCGAGCAACAGCCTGTATAATTGTTTATCTACATGCCTTTAGAAGAGGCCCCACAAAGATTATCTGTGTCAGGAACGATGCTTTCTCCAAAACTCAGGGTCACTCTTTCCTGGAAGTGTTTTGGAAAACCTCTTATCTCTTTCCTGGGTGCCTTTATTGCTCTGTGGTTGGCAGGCCTTTTTAGAAACATCACTGATGGCCATCGCTCTATGGTCAACTAATCTTTGACAAAACAGGAAAGAATATCAATGGAAAAAGAGACAATATCTTCGACAAATGGTGTTGGGAAAACTGGACAGCCACATGCAGAAGAATGAAACTGGACCCCTTTCTCACACCACACACAAAAATAGACTCAGAATGGATGACAGACCTAAATGTGAGGTAGGAAAACATCAAAATCCTAGAGAACTCAGACAGCAGCCTCTGTGACCTCTGCTGTAGCTATGTCTTACTTGACACATCTCCAGAGGCAAGGGAAACAAAAGCAAAAATGAACTGTTGGGACTTCATCAAGATGAAAAGTCTCTGCACAGCAAAGGAAACAGTCAATGAAACTAAAAGGCAACCTGGATATTTGCAAATGATGTATCAGATAAAGGGCTAGTATACAAAATCTGTTAAGAACTTACCACACTCAACACCCCAAAAATAAAGAATTCAGTTAAGAAATGGGCAGAAGACATGAACAGACATTTCTCCAAAGAAGACAGACAAATGACCAACAGACACAGGAAAAAATGCTCAGCATCACTCATCATCAGGAAAATACAAATCAAACCACAGTGAGATACCAGCTCACACCTGTCAGAATGGCTAAAATGATCAACACAGGAAACAACAGATGTTGGCGAGGATGTGGAGAAAGGGGAACCCTGTTACACTGTTGGTGGGAATGCAAGCTGGTGCAGTCCCTCTGGAAACAGTATAGAGTGTCCTCAAAAAGTGAAAAATAGAGCTACCCTCCAACCCAATGACTCACTACTAGGTATTTATCCGAGGGATATAAAAATAGTGATTCGAAGGGGCACATGCACCCCAACGTTGATAGCAGCACTATCAACAATAGCAAAAGTATGGAAAGAGCCCTTATGTCCATCAACCAGTGAATAGAAAAAGAAGTGATGTACAGTGATATACAACGGAATACTATGCAGCCATCAAAAAGAACGAAACCTTTCCATTTGCAATGACATGGATGGAGCTAGAGTGTATTATGCTCAGTGAAATAAGTCATTCAGAGAAAGACAAATATCATATGATTTCACTCATAGCTGGAATTTAAGAAACAAAACAGATGAACAAAGGAGAAAGGAAGGAAAAATAAAATAAGGCCAAAACAGCCTCTTAACTATGGAGGAAAAACTGAGGGTTGCTGGAGGGGAGGTAGACGGAGAGATGGGCGAAAGGGGTGATGGGCATGGAGGAGGGCATTTGATGTGATGAGCACTGGGTGTTATAGGTAAGTGATGAATCACTAAATTCTAAAATCACTAAATTATAAATTAATAAAATAAATATAATATAAAATAAATAAATAGATATTTATTTATCACTAAATTCCAGTTGAATAAATTATTTATTTATTTAGCTGAAATTATAGTATTTATATAATTAAAAAATTATTATTATTTATTTTTCACTAAATTCCTGAAACTAAAAAAAAAAAAAAAAAGAAAGAAAGAAAAAAAGACCACTGATGGGCACAATTTCTGCAAATCACCTTTAGTAATTAGCTAATTTTAGTTTGTAACTAAATCAAGTTAAGTAACAATATTTTAATAATTAGTATTTAGTAATTTAATAATATTTTAAGTAATAATAATCTCTAATATCTACTTAGCCACATCATCCATGTAGTTCATTAAGTTAGGAGTGGCCACACAATGCTCCCTGAATGGAGAGACCACCTTCCAAAACCCATCGAAGAGTTGAGTGAGCCCCCAGCAGCAACCGTCACAGAATCAGGGTGCTTCTACCCATCTCTAAAATTGACTTGACAAAACAAGGGCCAGCAAGAGTGACACATAACTGGATTATAATCTTAATTCAGTTGAGTCTTCGAACAGATTACTCAATGTGGCTTGCTTTTTTGGTGAATTATTGTGAATTTTCCAAGTATCCTTCTCTACCAAGCTGATGGGGCAGGGTGGCCGGGGGGCGGGGGGACGCTCAGTAGCCCCTGCTCAGGTCTTACTGAGAATGTCACAAAGTATCCTTCCCCTCCCAACTTTTCATCAGCCTCATCTCCGTCTAGGGTAAAATAGTACTTTTTTTGAGCCATCTAGGTGTCCCAAGAAAGATGTTTTGTAAGAGACTACAGGAAACAGAATAGAGATGATTGCCTTGAACATTTCATGTAAAGACATAAGGAGTCCTACATGTGTGCATTCCTCTGCAGAAGGGCCCCTGAGCTGGTTTCATAAAATAGGTCACATCTCTGACTTACGTTTGAACTAAATAATGAGGCTCTATGTTTTGTTCCTTATAGGGGATTGGATTGGGTCAAATGTTAACAAAAGATCAATGGTGGGGGACAGAGATGGACAGGGGCTGGGGAAAAAGCCAAGGAGATGTGAACTATACATGTGCTCTTGTGTTTGCTTTGAGGACCATTCGGACAGCCCCCTTGGCGCCGCCGTGACCCTGGCACATGAGCTGGGCCACAACTTCGGGATGAACCACGACACGCTGGAGCGAGGCTGTGGTTGCAGCGTGGCTGCCGACAAAGGAGGCTGCATCATGAACCCCTCCACAGGGCAAGTACCAACACTCCAGCTGCTTTCAGAGTTGCCACAGGTTGAATTGCTTGTTGGGAAACTGCTAAGCAAAAGTCTCCCTGGTTTTCTGACCAGACCACCCATAGAAACTTCTAGAAGGAGATCCCTTTCTAAGTAGCAAGAGCAGACTGGGCTCATCTGAGAGGGTGGGTCACAGGCAACCAGACTGCACTGCCACAGGGCAGGAGGACTGACCTCTTCCCTGAGAAGTGGCGAGTGGGGAGGGATGGATGTGTCTTTGTTTAGAAATTGCAAATTATCCTACTGTCTGAGCACCGGTTTTCTATTTGAGCCCACAGCTCCAGTGCTCCCACCAGCCCAGGGCTGGGAAAACTCACTTGGCAAAGGGGGCAGGGTTAGATGGGTCACATGGCCTTCAGAGCATGCTGGCTGGGGAGAGCTTCTTCCATCGTTGGGGTTGGCCCTGCGGCCGGTGTGCCTGACGTGTATCATTAGCGGGGACCGGGGGGTTAGCAGTGTCCCCACCTCTGAGGCATCACCTTATCGAATTTGAGAGGTTTAAATGAAGTGACATCTCTATGTCAGTAAATCACGCTGTTCTTCCCTTTGAAATGCCTTTCTGAAACGCGAGACTCTGTTCGCCCAGGGAAAAAGGAAGACAGTTTCATTAAGGGAGCATCCAAATGAGGTGGAAAGAGACGGCACGTGGACTGATCGAGTACAGATTCTGATGAGATCCCGATGCCTCCAAGGCCCTGTCCCAAACTAGAGGGCTGTGCTCATGTGGGGAGTTGTTCATTAGGAAAAGAGAACAAACGCTTTTTACAATCATCTTTTTTTATACCTAAGTGAGTCCTTCCCAACGCTTCTCTTTGTGGCACTTCCCAGGTGAAGCCTGCTCTCTGGGTTTGCTGCAAGGAAATGCTGGAGCAGGAAGCAAATCCTGGCTGGCAGCCCTAAGACTGGCCTTTGTGGAGACGGGCTGGCAAGGGGCTGGCCCTGGGCGGGGCAGGTTGGGGGGCACCTGCTAGAGGTGTAAGGGGTGGACTGTTACAGAGGGAGGTTCTGCTTCTGCGAACAACAGCTTTGGGAGGCTCCTATCGAATGGCTCCTGGGGCTCCATGTTGCCCCTGAAACACAGACTGGGCAGAAGGGCACAGCTCATATCCGGGACATTGCCACACCTGAGGGACGTTCCTGCGGCACCTCCTTGTCACCTGATTAACAAGTGATTGCTTGTCTTCACCACCACCACTCACAGAGCCTTCACGGGCATCTTTTTTGCTCCTGGTTCCGTCTTAAGCACAATTCAGGGGAGTTACCAAGACCCAGTGGAGGGATCTGCTCTGTGTCTGTGACAACTGAAGCCAGGAACCGAAGCCCAAAACGAGAGCATCTTAGGCCAACACCAATAGGAAGCGAAATATTGTAAAACCCTACATGCAAACCAGGGAGCTCCCCAAAGGGAGGCAGGCTCCTCCGAGAAAGTGTGTGCTCCTTCTCATTTAAACTGTCCAGGCAGAGGTAGGATAACAATTTGGGGGGCATTTGGGACAAAGAATTCCTTCTTAGGGTGTGAAGTTGGGCCAGCGGCCGGTAGGTGTCTTCTTTTTCCAGTATCCCAGCAGGCCCGACAGAGCCCAGCATCACTGGCCAGCGTGCCGTGAGGGTCTCAGACAACGAGGTTTGTAGGAAGTTAACATACAGCTGAGTGGTGTTCGTGCTTTCTCCTTCTTGATGAACTCCAAGTGGCTACAGAAAACTCACTGCTTGCTTAATTTCCCTGCTGATCACATAGACACAAACATATCAGCTTACATGCCTCCGGAAGTGGTTCCCAGTGACCGATCTCGTGAATGTTTCGGAACTCTTGATAAAATTGGCAAATGGAAGAGAAGAAAATCTAGGCTGGGGACACTAGAGTAGGACTGAAGTGCCCTGAGAGCCCCAATTCTGATACCAGTTGTTTTGGGTAATACAGGCGAGGGAGTAACCCCTCTGGTGTCAACCATTCTTCATCAAGAAAATGAGTCAGTCTGTCTTCTTCCTTCCTACCTTCCGTCCGTCTGTCCATCTACTGATTCATATTCACTCTATCCACCCACCCATCTGCCCATCCATGTCCTCACTGTTCATGCCATCCATCCACCTACCCATCTTTCCATTGGCTCTTCTGTACATCCACCCATCCTTCCCCTTACTTGTTCACATAGTCACCAAATTGTTTGGACCCCCCGTGCTCATGGTCCTGGGGAAGGCACAGACGAGGAAGACCCTACAGCTCTAAGAATTATGTGATTCTGGAGGTACAAATGCAAGACCTACTTTCTGACGCTCCCCGTAATTTTGTGTAAAGTCCTTCAAATTAGAAAGTCTTCATGGCAGTGTTTAAGGATATGAGCCAAATTACCCTGGAGATATTTGAAAATCATAGGTAGAAGCACTATTGTTAAGAGCTCAGCAAATCATTTCAAAGGTGTATTTTTTCCCTTTACCAGAGGTTTTCTAATAGCCTTTACTTGATTTATACCTTATTAGCAATTTCTAAGTTTTCTCTTTTGCTGAGTTTGTGCTTTTGTGTAAATCTTTTCTATTTGGTTCTCGTTTATGATCTCACATTCCCGTCCAGAGAGTGGTGTTTTTAATTTTCTCAGATGGAAAGAAACTTCCTAAGCAAGTGGGTGAATTAATCACAAAAACCCACAGCGAGGGGGAGGTCAGGCCGCCCAAGCAACCCTCAGCCATCCATCACCCACTGTAGAACTTCCAGGCTGCTTTTAATCTGCCATATTATCCCAATGTGGTCTCTCCCTTACCTCATGGGGTCCCCTCGAGAGCGGTGAGTGGATTAAATGAGATCACATGTCTTTGTAAATTGTAAATCACTCCACAAATACACAGCAGCGCGAGTACTGTTGTTACTTAGCTTGCGGGGTCTAAATCGTGGAGGGCCTCTTCCAGAACCCCTGTTCGGAGCTGCTGGAAGCACCACCAGTGCCACAGAATAGTAACTGAGCAACGCACCCACAGTCTCAGTGTGAACAGCTCAGCGTAGGCTGGCCCTTGGCCAGACACCTGCCTTCCCCCAACTTCCTCCGCACTCCTGGTTTCAGGCACGAGCAGCAAACGTTCAAAATGTTGCTCAAGCCTTAGCCTCGAAGGGGACCCAAAAAGAGGTGAATCCTGATTGCTTTCGTGATATTCAGGTCGCCCCGAATCAGAAAGAACCAATTCCAGATGGTGGCAAGGGGGAAAGCATAGCCCTTAGCATGCCTTGTGTCTTCTTTATCGAGACTTTCCAGAATCTGAACTCCAGAACCTTCAGCACCTGCCCGTCATTGACAAATGGGACCTGATGTCCGGGGAGAACCACACTCGTGCCCACGCCCGCTTCAAGGTGGCGGCGTGAGGTCAGCAACACCTTGCAGGGATGGTCCGAGGGGCTTCCTGACAGGTCGTACCATTAATGACCGCAACACCTGGAAAGGTCTAGAAGTGTGCGCGAGCGTAGTTCATGTGAAGACCTGTCTTGGAAAGCAGTCTTGGGCAAAAGCAGTATCTGGGGGTTCGAGTGGGAGTTAGACTCAGTGGGGTCCACTGGCTCGTCAGCTGCTTGGAGCACTGGGGCTGAAAGTGTGGCAGATGAAGCCACACTTAGGGGAGTAAGAAAAATGTGAATCGTTTGAACACATGCGGAAAAAGATGTTTAGCATCACTGTAAATGTCACTTCTAGAGTGGATCCCCAGGAAGCAGTGCTGGCATTCAAGAAGTGCTCTTGGGGCTTCCTTTATTTTTTTGAGGGAAGTTCTCTGTTGGAAAGAGCTGGAGGAAGGGAGCCTGTCGTGGGGCGAAGGAGGCGGAGTCTGGGACGCACGCTAACCCGAGATCTCACACGCTCTCCTAGAAGTGGGGGTGACAGCCAGGAACAGGACATTCTTCTCGCCTCATGGAATTTGCACTCTCTGGGCGAAGACAGACTTGAAAAACAGTACATTGAAAATCGCAGGTTAAAGAGCTTTGAAAGACACAAAGGAAGAGGATGGAAAGGAAACACATGGGCGAGGGGCCCCACTTGAATTGGGGCTTGGGGAGGAACTCTCTTGGAGGTGACCTTGAAGTGAAGACCAAAAGGAAGGGCGGGTCAGAGAGCCTGCAAGGGTGGGGGCGGACCTGGGTTTGGGCGGAGGAGATGGGGGGGGCAGTGCTGACAGCAGGCCAGGGCCTTGTGGGGGGCTGGGTCAGGATGGGGGTGGGGCCTGGGGGCACAGGTTGCTGGTGCTGCTGGAGAGAAGGAGGTTTCGGAGGAGTAGGAGCAAGCAAAGCCCCGGTCCACCAGGTTGGAAGGAGGTTTTGTCTCCAGGGCAGTGAGAAGTCCTTGCAGGGTTTTAGGCAGAGCAGTAATCTGATCTGACCTAAACTTTCAAGCTTTCTTCCCTTCTAAGATCACCAGTGTCTGAGCTAGGATCGCTTGCCAAATTAAGGGGTTTGTGTCTATTTTAAAAAGGCAGGGTGTGCTTCTTATTTAAAAAAAAAAAAAAAAAAAAAAAGACGCCAAAGTGATAGGCTATAAATTCTAGTTCTATTTTTGTGTAATTAATAGGCATTTGGAATTCAGTGACAAGGGTTCTGCTTTAGCACATGGGGCGGAGCACCCCTCCCCCAACACCCTCGCTTCTCCAGCCTTGCATATGTGATGTACGAAGTGCTCTTCTGTTTAGGAGTTCACTTTGCTGTCCCTACAGTAAGCATCCTTTAAGGCCTCGACTTCAAAGAGCCGTGGAAGAGCCCTCTCGCACTCCGTGTGTGCACGAGTGTGTGTGTTTGTGTGTGCGTCTGAAAGGAATTCCTGCATAGTTTTAAGGCTGATGCTAAGATTAGGGGTTTGGAGCTGTTTGGGTTTGTTTTGTCCAGACTGGCAAATGGCTCCTGAGCAAAGAATGTTCCGCGGCTGCCAACAGAGAACAGAGAGCAGCGTGTTACGCGCCCAATATAACACAGGTTAAGGAAATCAGAGGAG